TTGAGAAGAATAAAATCTTACTGTCGATTGATGATACTGAAGGATTTTAGTCTATCAAATTGATGCCCTATGTTATAGTGATGTTTTAAAATAGCACTACTAAAAATCTTTAATCCCATTAACTTGTGTATTAGTAGTTGTAGTGATTCAGTCACTTTCACATTAGTAAACCTCTGCGTTAACACCTATATTAGTAATAATACTCACCTTATTCAGTATTTAGTGATCATCTTGTTGTGCTAATGAGATGTGACAACTTGGAGCGATGCATATATGTGCCTGGTCCTACGTTGTAGTGGACTGACTGACCGACTTATCCAGCAAATTTATTTACAATAAGTAATTCTCAGTATAAAACAATATAATTTAAAAAAAATAAGTGAAATGGTTTCTTAAAAATTATGAAACATGACGGAGATTTCCAGCTTATGTAGATGCTTTTTTATAATTTTATATTGTCTAAACTAGATGAAAGCTTTCTTATATTTTCCTAACAGCATCATCAGTGCTCTACATCATGTAGAAGTGAACTTTGCATTTGTTTCATAAGTGTTTTATCAGTTCATTCTTTTGGCTTTGTATGTGGTTGTGTATATTGGCAGGTTATTCTTCATACTTTGTTTGTTAGTGATTGCATTGTATAATCAATTATCTGTCAAAAAGAGTTGAAAGGTGTAAATGGTTATATTCGCGAGTATTCACGACTTGATTTACAAATTTATTTATATACATAATATTATGTGATTATAGGTAGTCGGCACGAAACCCTGGATCTAGATTTCGTGCTATTTGGCATTCGTTAGTAAAATATACCTGTAATCTTGAAGGAATTAATACTTTCTGTAAGATTCATAAGATTTTTTTATACAATGCGAATGTATTCATCTAATAATTTCTTGAATAGGGTGATACATATATTCTAGATTTTACTGTTAGCTATCATCCAACAAATATTAAAGCTTCATACGCATTGTTTTCTTTAATATCTTGGGGAGAGAAAAAAATACCAAGGTTGGTACAGAATAAGACGAATTGATATTATTCTGCATCAATCGTTGCTTTATTTTTACTTTCGTTAAACTATTGAAACATACATTTAAGATGGTTTCATATGTGTGCTAACAGAGACTGATTAATTCAATCTTGATTCTTAACAACGCACAAATAGAATACCTTTTGACTAATGACATATAAAAATATTAATATACTGTAGTAAATGAAGACTTGGTGGGGATGACTAGTTTAATGTTAAATGAAAAATTACAGAGGACCTTCGTAAAATAAAAAAATCATATATTAAATGCATCATTTGTACATCTTTGTATTGTTCTTTACATATTTCATTATTCCTCTAATTCTGTTGTTATTTCGATTGCGCTCCAATTTCCTTCCTATTCTCTTTATTTTAATCTTATGCTACCAGGCATTTTACTTTCTGTTCGTGCTACATACTACTTATACCTGTCAGTATAAGTAGCATGCAACACAATATCATTAGTTATAGGATGGATTTTAGTAAAATTACAATGTATGGATTGCACTAGCTAAATAATTTTCATATTTTATGATGTTCCATTTGAAACGAATCCATCAATAGATATTCAACACTGCCTCTCTCTCTCCGTTCTCCTCATAAAGCGCCTGCTTATTAATTTATTTCTGCTTAAAATGATCGTTTACACAAATAAGTGTAAGTAATATCAGTAATAGTGGTAGTAGCAATTTATTTCAAAGTAATCCAACTAGGAGAGAGGGATTTATTTATCAATTGGTCTCTGCTATATATACTGCTATTATTTTTTATCTGTGCTCATTTCCGTTTTTATTTCTAATCATTGTCTTTCATTTGCCTAAATTAATCTTATTACTTCCATTTATCTAAGTTTATTATTTTGACATTTTTATTACATGGTCGCGATCTCTCTGTATCACACACACATTGTCTCAAGAGATAGTGATCAGATCGTTTAAATCATGCAATGGGTGTGTTATTGTCAGTTGGTCGAAACTTTATTTTTATTTTATAGGGACATGTATTATCTACGCCCAACCACTGCCTATCTCGATGTGCTATATTAGCTTGTTTGGGGGGTGGGTTTAAAGAAAAACAAAGGCAAATGAACTCAGATGTTGTATCTGTCCGTGAGGTCATTAACATTTGGGCTGAACCCTGTTAGTGTGTTCTTACAACCTGGTTTGGGTTCGTTCGACTGTTGTAACCAGTGGTCGGAGACGTTGTGTACTATGGTTCAGAATCAGTCACATTGGGCTCTAATGCATTCACTCTTTGTTCATCTGTTTCAAAATTGTCTTAACGTTTCTCATCTCACAAATTCATGCTTCTCGAATCATGTTATCCATAACTTATCTTTTCGATTACGTCTACTACTGTACTTTACGAACAAACTAAGTTCAGCTGCGAACACAGATTTTTTATAAAGCATTTACTTAGTCTTCAATCTTCCATTTCCATCTTTTATGTGTTCCGCAATCCAAGCTGGTTGTAGACTGTCTTTTTAGCCCCTCTTCTGGTCTCGAAAGTATTCCGAACTCGCCATGTTTATTGTTTGCTGAGACCCTTGTCTTTGGCTATTTACTTCAGCAACCCCCTAACGACGCTCCGCTGCATACTACTTATAATGAATCTTGTTACTACTTCCACTACCCTGGTATTTTATTTGATAATTTCATCTCATTATGAGCATGTTGTGTGACATCTTGATTTAAATGAAAATATGTGTCAGGTTCTATATTGCGTATATCTGACTGGCTGTATCTGCTAATTATATCATGATCTGTATACCATTATAAAGTTTACTGTGGATTATTTTTTCTTAATGTGTAATGCATCATTATATTCATTCTATTGTAGTTGCGTTCTTATTTACTAGTTTATTTTCAGTTCATTTATAAAGTATAGATCGTCTTTGAGACAAAATTTAAGTATGATAATAGCTAATGAGTAATACTTTACTTAATTACTCAAATCAAAGTAGGAGGAACAGGGCTCAAAACTGATGCATAGTGTTTGAAAGTTGAGTGCCTTGACCACTGAGCTACCCACTACTTCATTATGTTTTGTATCCACTCAATATATCAAAATAGTTCTTTTGATGGTTACTATCATTTATATTCTAGAAAAAATAGTAGCAGTGGTAGTAGTAGAAATACGAACAGGTATTTTATTCCATGTTAAAAGATTACATAATAAAACTTTGTTCATTTTTATTTTTTTATTTTACCTTGTTCTATTGTTTCTCACACATATGACTTTTCTTACAATGCTTCCTTTTCATTCCGAAAAAAAGTAAATTAGAATGTCTTTCTCTCTTGTGTGTGTGTGAGTGCATGTATATGCATGTGAACGTCTTCATATTACATGAAACACCAATACATATTTACTTCTTCTGTTCAATTCTTTTCTCCTCTCTGTTTTATTTTCTGCCTTAATCAACCCTGGGTAAAATGATTAAACATAAAATTATATAATGATAGTCTATATGTGCTTGCATTCATGCTTATCTTTGTTGATCCATTGTTGTTTTTTTTTCTTAAAAAATATTGAAAACCCATAATAATGAGATTGTTTTGGTTGTACCGTTTTAGAAATTTTTTGAATTTTACACTAAAGTGTTAGTGATCCTTTTACAAATTCATCAGGTCTTAAGAATATAGTGTTTAGTGATAAATGAAATAGGGTATGTTGTTTATATTATATATTTTTGTGGGATGGGGGTGTAGGCAACGTAGGCGCCTATGGACATATATATATATATATATATATATATATATATATATATATATATATATATATGTAATATTATAGAAAATGCACAATGAATTGTCAACTAACTAGAGCCTAGATCTGAATTATATGTATTTGCACGTGAATTGTCCTATTTTTTTCATTAGATCGATATATATATATATATATTTTCTTTAAGCTAGATAAAAGAAATTGTCAAAACTCTTCATTATAAATTCGAATGAATTCCTATATTTTTCATTTTAAAAATACTCTGGTTACAGAAACCTAGATAAATTTTTACTTTTAATGAAATAGCCAGTGATTTTAACATTTTGGAAATTAGGTTGTTGTTTTTCTGGTTGGAAAAGAGAAAATGTATCCTCTTTTCCAGTGCTTTATGTATCAATGTATGTAAGGTACTGTTTAGTAAACTTATGTTATGAGAAGAAAATACTGAAGATGTTTTGTATCAAATAGTTAACTCAATTTAAGTTTAATTGCTATTATTCTTGTGTATCTGTGTGTATGTGTGTAAGTAATTTAGAAATAGATTAAAAGATTTATAAAGAATAATCGAATTTCAAAGAATCAACGTCTATTAGATTAATGACCTTTGAAGATCAGAAAGAATTGAACAATCATTTTGTCTTACGTTTTTTTGTTTGTTTGTTACTTCTCATCAATATGCACATTTATAGGGTATGGTAACGATAGAACATGATAGTTTCAAGTCTTATCCATGTCAGATTTAACAGTTTTGATAAACTTCCTCGTTGAACAATAATCATATGTTCAATTGTTTTGTTGATTTGTTTTTTGAAAGTGATCTTCAATGTTTTATAAGGATATCGTGTTTAATGGAGTTCAAAAAAACATTTCGAGTTAGAGTTATTTATAAGAGTGGCATTGAATAGTCATCAATATCGAAAATTGATTAAAATAGGAAATATAAACTACTGGATTTCAACTAGATGGTCTAATAGTTAAGCGCTCAACACTAAACATGGACTTTTTGGTTCTGATCTTTGATAATGTCATGTTTTCTTTTTTCTGAGAAGTATTGTACTATGGTCAAATAGATGTTCAGTGCTTCACTTTAGTCCTATAGTTAATTCCAACCCATAACAAAGAATTGTATTATTGGTTATTGCACTTTACACAATCTATCTGTATGTATGTATATAATACATAGTTGTTCCCAGGAGATTTATTGTTTCTAAATTTATGTCATTTACGGTTATGTGAATGGTTGTTTATGGATCGTCTAGTTTTTACATAATTAACTTTGCTTACTCTCAATAGCGTTTCTTTCTTTTGTTTAATTATTATTTTTTTGTGTGTGTGCGATAGGTGTACCTTCTCCTCCGAGCAAATTAATGCCTTCAAGTACGGTGTTCGATTCCAAGGGTCGTCCTCAACTGGATGTAATTGGACCACATTTAATTTCTGAAGGACGACTGACAGAAGAAGCAATATTAAGAATTATTAATGATTGTTCAGCCATTTTAAAATCAGAAAAAACTATGCTTGAATTAGAAGCTCCAATTACAAGTTAGTTCATTCTTTGTTTTTGTTCCTCTCTCTTTCTCTCTCACTATTCTATTGTGAATTTTTTCCTAACAATATTTTAAAAAAATATTTTGGTTGTTTTGATAAACACTACATCAGTTGTTTGTTTCAACTTTAGTCCATTATAGCAGGATTTCTGATCTGGGTTATTGAATATTTTACCATAATGATTATGTTTTTGGTTCGTGTTATCTGCAAGTGTTAACACCATTAACTTCCCATCTTCGTCTCCATTGTTAGAAATTCGCTTATTACAACCCAGCCACTCTTATTGCTTAGTATTCTTGGACACTGCTTCATTCGAAAAGTTCCCAAATCAAAACACGGTTGAACAGGAACGTAATTATGTTCCAAATAAACGAGGTTAGATGGAAGTAGGAGTCTCTTGTGTTCTATTTTGTTAGTAGCGCTCATTTACGACCTCATATGGAATTGAAACTCATGACCTGCAGGTACAGATTATCAAGCAGTGGCCAATGTACTATATAGACTCAATGTATCTGCCTTACTTCTACAGATCAAAGCTCTCCAATAAAATGATATGTTTTAAATGGTCCTTCATTTATGACTTCAACTGTATATAGTTCATAAAACAAACTCGTCATTTAATGTTGGTTTACAGACTAATTGATTGAACATTTTCGCTCAGTCCTTAGTAGTTGTTGTCATCACCTTATGTAACAATTCTGTATAAACCTGTACACGACTATGTGACTCAGTGTATAAAATTTATCACTCTCTACTGTTTAAGATGATTAGGCGTCTTGAGTCAAATCCTATGTTGATTGCCACAGAAGGACTGGTAATTGATAGACCATAGTAGGCATTAATTGCTACCCCGAAACAGTTTGATTCCCACTAAATCAACTAATTCAGGTTCTTTGTTAATTATTGATTAATTGTTGACTTTAAAGACTTAATCAAAACGTGATCATGTGTACTTTTTACAAAATTATCTTTGTTTCGTAAAATGAAATGATCATTGTTGAAGCTTACATGGTTGATTTATTATTTATTTATTTGAACACATAGTTATTGGTACAAGGAGGCACCAAATATGTATTCGCCACACAAATCTCATTTGATTTGTGTGAGGGCTATGATACTGCCCGAGTGCCAAAACCGAAGCAGGATCCTAAGGAAACAAATGGCGTATGAACCAATTATTGATCACCAGCTACCATGGGACTGCATCTCCTTACGTTGCTCTACTGCCTTGTGGGTTAGACCTTTATGTCAAAGGCTCCGGGTGTGGTCTCCTAAGAAAACCACCTGCTTCAGTTTGGGAACCTGAGCAGTATTCCAGGCCTCACACAAATCGAACGATTTATGTGGTGCATATCCATCTGGTGCCTCCTTGTAGCAATGTTTATATGTTTAAATAAATAAATAGAATCAACTTACTTATTAAAACAATTTTCGTTTTTTACCATGACCATTCATAAAGAATTTGAGTTAGCTTGAATAGTGACTCCTAAAGACGTCTCTTAATCAAAATCCTCATTAAGGCATCATCATCATCATCTGTTGCTTTGTTTCATCGTTCACATATCTCAGACTTCTTTCAAGTTGAATAACTTATTTCTATAAAACATCCACGGTTTTATTTTGATTGCTGGTGAACAGTAGGTATACTATAGACATACTAATTGATAATATAAATTATAACTTAGGTTTCTTAATATATAAAAATGCTTTTTAACATACTTCACCCAACTTTGCTACGTCTCAGCACTTTGACAGTCTATTATTAATAGTTTTATTGACCATGAGTTTTTTTCTTAGATATATTTTTTAATAGACATAAATAACTATTGAGCAATTTATTTTACATCTTATGATCACTATTGGTTGAAATTATGATGTAGGTTTTTAAATAAATTGGGTTTAAGCTATTTTTGTGCCCTCTATCAACGGAAATGAGTTCATGCTTATTGGTTAGTTATTATAAGACTCTAAAAAGGTTCTATCTGTAAGAAACCTTTGCTTGTATGTCACCATAGCTGTATTTAGTGTTATTTCTGTGAGAGATTGAATATGAGACTAATTTTTATAATAATGGGAGTCATTTCCATTTTTCACAATCTAGTCGATTTTTGCAGCTCTCATGTTCCACTTAGACAAGGTTATTTTCCAACTGCTTGTTACGTTTTGGGTTAATTGATGAAAGGGAGGCGTAGAAAATCAAGAATATCTGAATTCTTTCAAACCAACAAGTTAATGTTTAAACTCATCAGTTTAATCATGTCTGGCATATTTTCCATATTGAGATCGTGTACCAATCAGTGTTAGAGCACTATTAAAAACCTGAGAGCACTGGGCGTCTGTTTTGTCCTAGTATGGAACTCCTCAGCAGCGCACATCCACAACCCTACACGCAGGACTCGGACACAAAACCTTTGGTCTTACGTGAACGCTTAACCTCTAGACCACTGAGCCGAGGTCCAACAGTGTTAGTGTATGACTTCAACCAATCTATAATGTTACGCGACCATTTTCCATTGTCTTCGGTGGGTAACTGCCTCACACTTGACACAGTTGAACTCCACCGGTCACAGCTCACTAGAACTCCAGAAAATATCTATATAATATTATTTATAAAATATCTATATAACCAGTCTTTAGTGAGCATATAATGATTATCATTATTGAGATTGTTATGTTTTAATTAAAGTGATGGACTAAGACCGAAGGTCCTGGTTTGAGTCCAGCATTGTTTGGATCGTGATCTCGAATAAAACTTAACAATCTCCACAACTACATACTTATTTTTTATATGTTCTCATACTGTTGAATAAATCCTTCGTTTTTTTATCTCAGTGTAATATAGTATATGTGTCGTTGAGCTAATTGAATTTCTCATATGGGAGTTGTTTAATTTCAATCTCTTTTTAAACCATAGTCAGTATAAGAGGATTAACTCAGGTTCGGATAGACTTTTTTAAGGCTGATACTATTAAAATTAGGTTTATGATTATAAGTTTTGGTTCACCTCTCATCATCATTTCGACTTTTCTAGTCTAATAATTTACTCAAAATGCAATTCATTTCTAAGTTGTAAGCGAAGAAAATAAACAAATGTATTTGTGAAATCCACTATGGGTACAGATGTGATCACTGCTAATGTATAATAATTCATACACTAGCAGTAATTATTTCTATATACATTGTATTAAACTTTTTAGCGATAATTCATATATGTAACAGTTTATTTAAAACTCATAGTTTACATCAGGAACTGATCTTATTTAGACAACAATTGAAAACTAAGAAGTAGTGAACACCTGTTTTCTCCTAGTAAGGGACTCTTTAACAATGCGCATCCACAATCCACCAGGGATCAATCTATAACGAATATAACCTACAAAATAAAACCAATTTCTACAAGATTTCTTCGATAAAACCGAGTTCGAATTTTATGGGTTCGATTTCTTGTGACAGGTTCATGGATGAACATCACTCAGTAGTTTCATACTAGAACAAAACAGCTGTTCAGTACCCCATAATTTTCAATAACACTCTACCTGTCATCTATTCTTGATGAACATGATCTACAAATTGAAATCTGATTTATTTATAGAACGAATTATCTACTTTATAAACAATGATGTTATCGACAGTAGAAATTTAGAAAATAATCAAAATATTTTTTTTTATCAGAATGTATAAATGTATCCTTTAAAATGATTACAAGTTATTTAAAAATTCCATTTGCTAGTTAAATAATTGTCTATTTTACAAATATAATCATTCTACTTCGTATGGGCAAAACTTTTAAATATTCTGTTGTATATGTATATATTACTGATAATGACAATTATCTTTTATAAATGCAACATAGAGTTAATGTTTTATCCAATCAGTTTTCTTACAATTGCCCCAAATTTTCTCCTCTACCTAATAATAAGTTATAAATGATCAGTTATTGTATGTTTGGTTTTTTAGCCTTTTAAATTATGTATACAGAATTCCATTGTGTAATTTATGTTTTTACTATTTTAAATACTGAAATAGGATATTGTTTTGTTTTAAGATCAACTCTGTCTTTATATGAAAGTGATAGATAAATCGAAGAAGAATATTAAAACAAAAAGGAGCTATAAACCATTTTCATCATTTGATACACTTTACTTTTTTACTTCTTGAAGTTCGATAGATATCACAGTGGTTGTTTCTATCCTTGTACTTTATCTTTCTTATTCTTGTTTCTTTTTGTAAATCTAAAATATTTTAAATAAGACAGAAGGAATTTAACTTTTCAAGTTATGCATTCTTACAATTATGCTATTATTCATTATTGTTTTTCATTCTTTTATAATAATAAGTAAATAGAATGATCAGTTGCATTGGATCATTGTTATGCACTGAAAATGGACAACTTTATCCAGTATATTTATTATTTTATAGAATGATTTATTGTGAAAATTATTGTTTTTCTTTCTGCTTTTTATGGTTTTCTTTTAATTGAGAAAAACTAATATGTTATTCTGTCAACTAGTCTTATGCTAGTCAAACAATAATAGAAGGAAGTCATTGACGTTTACAGGAAGTTGTTACAATTATGTGTTAGTTTCTTTGATAGGCTGACTTGGTAGCTTTAGGTGAAGCTTTGGACAAAAGCCGATTGAGATTTCTGAATCTGTGTTAACATATTGTCAGACACTAAACATCTGGGTTGATGAAAATTTCAAGATCAGTGAAGTGGTTGATACCTCTAACTACTTCACTTCCCGTCATTAGTTTCTTGATTGACGTAGACCAGTCATGAGGGGATATTTTACGTATGGAGGGACAGAAATGGATTCAAATATGTACAAAACTGGACTATGTTATTTGCGTATTTCAAGTTGATAAGTAAATCTCACAGTAGAATAACAGTCTTAAAAAGTTAGGAAAGTATGTTATCTCTAAAAGTAATGTCTATAACGAAATTAAATCAATTGGGGGAAAGTAGACGGCTCTGACGAAGACAATTTGAGGTC